CGCAGTGAGTCCGAGAATGGCACCGAGACATTCCCCATCCCCTCTTATGGGCTGGCATCTCCCTGGCCCCCTCCTGCAGGGATAAACCCGCTGCACGTCTCCAGGCCGGTCACTACGGATCCCTCCTCTCCCAGCCAGGAGGGGAGACAAGTCTCAGTTTCCCTGCCCGAGAGCCCAGAGCAGCCCGGGCAGAGGCACCAGCATTTCCTACCCTGAGCCCCCAGTGACTCCGCTACGAAATGCGAATGAACGTCCGGGACACAGACACGGGGGCAGGGCTGGAGGGGGCAGAGAGGGCGGGTGCATGGACAGACGGGCAGGGACAGACGGACGCTCTGTAGTTACTCTGTGCTGGGAGGGAAGGTGCAATTCTCATGGAGCAGCCGACGTCTCCGCTCCCAAACCCTGCGTCAGGGCTGCCGGGGGCTGGGCCGGCCTGGGGGACCTGGGGAAAGGCTGCCCAGGGACACACAGTGGGGCTGTCTGGGTGCCGTGTCCCACTGACCCCGGGGCACACGCTGGCCCCAGACAGTCTCCAAGCTTGGCAGCCGCAGCTCCAGGCTGGGCCGGCCCAGGGGGCCTGGGGAAAGGCTGCCCAGGGACACACAGTGGGGCTGTCTGGGTGCCGTGTCCCACTGACTGAGGAGCACACGCTGGCCCCAGACAGTCTCCCAGCTTGGCAGCTGCAGCTCCGGCATTTCCCTCCCTGCGCCAGGGCAGCCGGTGAGCCCCAGAGAGCAAAGGGCAGAGCCTCACCCATGGCCCCTGCCTGGCTCTGCTGCCTTTCTGGGCCGGGCAGGTTCCACCCCTGGGGATCGGGTCTGTGTTACTGACAAGCTGCTGGCCTGGGGCAGCAACCAGCAAAATGCAGCTCCCGCTAACGGGCGTTTCCAGCCTGTGTCAGAACAGGGTTCTGTTTGACCAGCCTATCCCCTGCGCCCGGGAGCAGCACCAGGGGCTCCAGGGAATATAAGAACAGAACAGCCAGACTGGGACAGACCAAAGGTCAGCCAGCCCAGTGTCCTGTCTGCGCACAGTGGCCAGTGCCAGGAGCCCCAGAGGGAGGAAACCCAATAGGTAATCATCACATGATCCCTCCCCTGTCACCCATTCGAACTACCAGGTCCCTGCTGCATGTAGATGCGGGCAGTTAGTCCAGGCTTGTAAATTTCAAAAATGGCGTCCGGACGGGAAGATGCAAATCAAGTGTGGGATATTTAAATCCCAGGCTTGATTTGCAACTTCGAATGCCTACATTAGTCTGCCTTGTTCGAACTATGGGGCTAGTGTAGACATACACTAAATTCAACGGTTGGAAGGGGAAGCCAAAGACATTCAGAAACAAAGCACAAATTCTTACCCAGGAGGGGGATTCGCCCTTAGGACAAGTGACCAGACGCTGGCCTGGATTCTCCACCCTTGACAATCTTTACGTCAAGATTGGAGGGGTTTTATAAAAAGCTGCCCCCTTCAAACAGAGGCTGATTTCACAGAAGCCCTCCTGCCTGAATTGTACAGTGTAGTGGACAGGGGAAGTGCTGAGCAGCATCTGGTGACTAAGGGGTTAAACTCAGGTAGATAGCAAAGGTGTTGGCCAGTGGACCAGGAGAACCAATCCAAATAGAGGGTTGAAATGTGAATTGGATCTAGGTTCCCTGCCTACTTCTTTGTGTGGGAGTGAAAAACCAGGGGTTGAGAGACACAATGATTTAAACCCAGACAGGACTGCCAGGCCTCCGAGGAATTCAGGTCATGGGAATAGACTGAACAAAGAGAAAATTAGAAATAAGTGAAATGAAAAGGGAACCCAGTCGTGTTCAGGGTCATTTTTCTTTATTTTGTGGTTTGGTTTGAAGTGCTCTGTGTGAATCTCTGCCTCTCCTCCCCATTTACCATTGAGCATTGTGACCAGACTTTTCGCCGTGTTTTAATTCGTTTGCCTTAGTTGCTCTGTAACACCTAGCAACCAAGTTTGCTTTCTCAAGTTTATCTTTTGTTTTCTAATAAAAATCACTTTTTTAAGGTGATGATTTGATTCTTGTGTTCTGGAAGGTCTGTCTGTGTGTGTCTGCAGGCCTGCAGCTGAGAAGTGAGCTCCCGGGGTACGTCTAGACTACATGCCTCCGTCGACGGAGGCATGTAGATTAGCCAGATCGGGGCAGTCTGGACGCAACGCGCCGACAAAGAAGCCTTTCTTGATCGGCACAGGTAAGTGCGGAAGGGGCTGGACACCCCCGACTTACGTCCTCGGCCCGCATTTACGCTGGTGCATGGCGCTTACTGTAAATGTGCGTTCGAGTTATGACACCCCCAACTTGCCACGCTTCCACCAGAACGGATCGCGTCACAAGTCGGGGGCCTCCTGTCCACAGATTTACGGATATCACTGCCACCATCAAGTGATTGGGGGCTGGATTGATGACCTTCTGAGGTCTCTTCCAGCTCTATGGTTCTATGATTCTATGATTTGTATCCCTAAAAAATCAGGGGTGAACACTTAAACCCACCCCCATGGGTACCCCAAGCTCTTTGACCCTAAAAGAGCTTGCAAAAAGAAAAGAGGAAATCAAGCTGCAGTCTCTGGGGGTGTGTCTAGACTACATGCCTCCGTCGACGGAGGCATGTAGTCTAGACACACCCCCAGAGACTGCAGCTTGATTTCCTCTTTTCTTTTTGCAAGCTCTTTTAGGGTCAAAGAGCTTGGGGTACCCATGGGGGTGGGTTTAAGTGTTCACCCCTGATTTTTTAGGGATACAAATCATAGAATCATAGAACCATAGAGCTGGAAGAGACCTCAGAAGGTCATCAATCCAGCCCCCAATCACTTGATGGTGGCAGTGATATCCGTAAATCTGTGGACAGGAGGCCCCCGACTTGTGACGCGATCCGTTCTGGTGGAAGCGTGGCAAGTTGGGGGTGTCATAACTCGAACGCACATTTACAGTAAGCGCCATGCACCAGCGTAAATGCGGGCCGAGGACGTAAGTCGGGGGTGTCCAGCCCCTTCCGCACTTACAAACGTGGTTCCTGGATTGTGATTCTGGAGGGAAGTTTTTGTAACCAGTGCTTCGAGAGGCAAAGGGTGGTTTTTTCATTTCTTTTTGCGCTGTGCGGACCCTCGCCTTGTGCACTCAGAGTGCCGGAGCAGGGAGGGAGTGAGGTGCGATGGTCCCAGGAGTGATTTCTGGCTTTCGAATCTTGACGCCATTAGTAACCCTCTCTGATGTGACCAGATGTGGAGGGGTCGGTGTATTTGCTTGCTCCGCTGCTTACCGTTGGGGTCAGCATCACTCCGTGGGGAAGGAGCGAGAAGGAACAGCTCTCAGGGAACGTGGCTTCCAGAGCCTGGACAGTTAAACTCCACCTGTCTCTCTGGGTCTAGTCCTAGAGAGTTATCTGCCTGGCCATTCTTGCTCTAGTTTGTTCTCCCGGGTTTGCGGGTGTTCACGTCTCAGGTCCCTGACGGGCCACTGTCCCAGGGTACGGTTCTGTTGCTTACAGCTACAAACGCAGCCCGTGGACTTAGGGTGGCAGTGCAGCAAAGAGACCCCATTTCAAGGGACCTGTCTCTGGCTATTTCCATTTGCCCCTCAAACGTGCCTGTTTCGGGATGAAATTCCCCCCGTGCGGAGCACAGGCCCGGAGAGCACTGCCCATCCCCCTTCCCCTTGAGACATTGTGGCCCTGCACAGGAGCGGGGAGGAGGCAGAATTACGCTCTAGTCCAGCGATCACCTACCAGGAGATGGGGAGCTAATGGTAGATCTTGGAGCCTTTGACAAGGGATTCTGACGGGTTTGGCCAGGGGGCAATTCATCTGCTCCTGCCCTCTGCCTTGGAGCGTCCTGCTTGCTGTGCAGGGCATGGGAATAATAAGAAGAGGGGGTGCTGATGTCAGGGTGCCCCTCCCCTCACCCTGTACCCCATCTCCACAGAGCAGAGATGGGGCAGGGATGGAGGGAGTTTGCTGGTTGCTTTTGGGAGAGGTGCAGGGCCGGGGGAAAGGTGAGCCTGGCTTAGCTCCCTGCACCACCACTCAGAAGCCACCTGTACCCAGGTGGAGCCTGCATTCTGAACCCCGGCCCCAGTCCTGAAACCCTCCTGCACCCCAAACCCCGGCCCTCGCCCTGAGTCCCTGTGCACCCAAACACCCTCCAGAGCCTGCCCCCAAACCTGCCCCTGCACCTCAACTCCCTGCCCAAAGCTCAGATCAGAGCCCCTCCCACACTCCAAATCCTTTAGCCCAATTTCAGAGTCTGCATCTTCCTCCCCCGCACTCCATGGAGCCTGGTCAATGTAAGTGAGGATGGGGTAGGAGGGAGAATGCAGTGAGCAGGGGCAGATGGAGAAGGACTGGGAAGGAAATGGGACATAGGTGCTTGGGGCTGAGGTAGGTCCTGGATTGCACTAAAATCAGTAGGTGATCTCGTGCTTAAAAAGGGTGGAGACCCCTGTTCTAGCCTGTTAGGGTACGTCTAAATTACATGGCTCCATCGACGGAGCCATGTAGATTTGTTGTTTTGGCAAAGGCAAATGAAGCCGCGATTTAAATGATCGCGGCTTCATTTACATTTACATGAGCCGACAAACAGCTGATCAGCTGTTTGTCAGCTCAGCGTGCTAGTCTGGACGCTCCTGCGCTGACCTGAAAGCCCTTTATCAACCTCCCCATTATGCCTCGTAGGATGAAGTTTACCAGGGAGGTCGATAAAGGGCTTTCAGGTCGGCGCAGGAGTGTCCAGTCTAGCGCACTGAGCCGACGAACAGCTGATCAGCTGTTTGTCAGCTCTGCCCGGCAGACATTTAAATTTAAATGAAGCCGCGATTATTTAAATCATGCCTTCATTTCCCTTTGCCGATCAGCCTAATCTACATGGCTCCATGTAGTTTAGACACACCCTATATGGGATGTTAATGAGAAATAGCATTGACCCCAGCAAGCACTGACCTTGTCTCTGCTTCCAGCCGGGCCTGGCGCCCAAGCGGAGCCCTCGGTACCCCATGGACGCACCCAACAGCACAACGTTCAGTCACCTCAGCTTCGTCCTGGTCGGCATCCCGGGCCTGGAGCCCTGGCACCCCTGGATCTCCATCCCCTTCGCGCTGATGTACACGGTGGCTGTTCTGGGGAACTGTGGTCTCCTCTTGCTCATCGCCACCCAGCGCAGGCTGCACGAGCCCATGTTCATTTTCCTCTCCATGCTCGCGGTGGCTGATTTAATATTATCTACATCTACAGTGCCCAACACGCTGGCCATCTTCTGGTTTGGACCCAAGACTATTGCTTTCAGCTCCTGCCTCACCCAGGTGTTCTTTGTTCGCTTTGGATTTGCCACCGAGTCGGACATCCTACTGGCCATGGGGTTCGATCGGTACGTCGCCATCTGCGACCCCCTGCGGTACACGACTGTCCTCACCAATGCGAACATTGGGAAAATAGCCACGGCCATTGTCATCAAAAGCTTTTGTATAGTTATCTGTGTTGTCTTTCTGCTCAAACGGCTGCCCTTCTGCGCCAGCAACGTGTCCCCATTGTTTTTCTCCTCAAACGGCTGCCCTTCTGCGCCAGCAACGTCATCCCGCATTCCTACTGTGAGCACATCGGGGTGGCCAGGCTGGCCTGTGCAGACATAACCATCAATATCTGGTTTGGCTTTTCAATGTTTCTCTTAACTATTGTAGTAGATTTTATGTTCATCGCTGTGTCTTATGTGCTGATCCTCCGGGCTGTCTTCAAGCTGCCCACCAAAGATTGTACTAGACATTGTGTTTATTGCTGTGTCCTACGTGCTGATCCTCAGGGCTGTCTTCAAGCTGCCCACCAAAGATGCCCGGCGCAAAACACTCAGCACCTGTGGCTCCCACGTCTGTATCATCATCTTAATTTATGTCCCAGCATTTTTCAGTCTCCTAACCCACCGCTTTGGCCATAACATCCCTAAACACATTCACATCCTGCTGGCCGATCTCTACGTGCTCATCCCCCCCATGCTAAACCCCGTTGTTTACGGGATGAAAACCAAGCAGCTGCGAGAACAAATGAGGTGCGTGTTCTCTCGGAAGGGGAATTGGTGAATGTGCTGAGTCCACAGCCATGTGACTTACCAGCAGGCTTCTTCCGCACTGCAAGGAGAGGTCCCTGTGGCACTGAGACATAACTCCCAGTTGCAAAACAGACTTTTTCAGCTCCTTGGATGTTTTGTTGCATGTCCAGGTGCATGGAACTACATGGGCCTTTCTTGAGAGAAGGCTGGGGAGGGTGGGCGAGGGACCGAGGAAGTGCTGATAAAAGTTTCCACATTTGGAAAGGTTCTTACCAAGAGGATGTTGATCTGTGGAACTCCTTGCAGAGGACGTTGTGATGGCCAGGAATATAACACGGTTGAAAAAGGAGCTGGATACATTCATGGAGGTCAGGGTCATCAATGGCTATTAGGCAGGAAGGGCAGGAACGGTGTCCCCAGCCTCCGCCAGAAGATGCGAATGGGTGGCAGGGGACGGATCACTTGATGATTCCCTGTCCTGTTCCTTCTCTCTGGGGTACCTGACACTGGCCACTGTCAGACTAGAGGACACCGGGCTAGGTGGCCCTTTGTTCTGACCCTGCATGGCCGTTCCTGTGCATGTTCCAATTGTTCTCCTGGCCCAGTGACTGCAGGGCATGAAGCAAGGGGTTAATATGGTGCAGGGAGCTTTGGGGCAGCTCTTAGGAAAACCTTTCCGTCGTTCAGAGTAGCTGACACCGATACGGGGCCCAGGGAGGCTGTGGAACCCCCGTCACTGGAGAGATGTGAGACCGGGCTGGGCTCAGGGCTGACGGGATCGGTTTCACTGGCCCTGCCTCAGCGCCGGGGCTGGACGATACGACCCGGCGAGGCCCCTGGAGCCTGACGTCTCTCTGCAGCGCTGAGCACTGATCTGCTGAGGCGGCCGGGTCTGTTTCTTGCCCCTCGCCACGGAAAGGAATCCCTTCTTCTTGCTTGTCCCTAGGCCGTGCCCCACCCAGGCCCTCTCCTGCGCTCGCCTTCCCTCACAGCTCAAAGGCCAGGCCTCCGTGTTGGATTTGTTTTAACCTGGCCAGTGAAGCCATTGGGGGCAGGGTGAGACAGCGTCCGAGCCTGTCGCTGGGGCTCCCCGTGGGCTGAGCCCCTCCCCCATCGGGGATGCCCACGCCAGGGGTATAAACATCCCCACATCGCCACCCCGGTCAATGTGACCAGGCCCAACCCCTGACCAAATGGCACCCGGGCAAGTAGCATCTTTGGTGCCCACCCCCTTCCTTTGCTCCCCTTTTGAATCCCGTCTTTGTATTGCCCCTGTAGCCTGTCTCGTGCTTGGATGCACTCACATTCACCACTAAAAGTGCGCCTTTGCATGGGGAGCCATAGAGCTGTGTCGATCTGTATCCGCAAATAAAAACCCTGTTTCCTCTATGCTTCTAGAAACTATTTCAATTGATGAAGGAACAAACTGTCCCATCAGACACAGGAAAGTGGCCCAGCGTGGGGTGAGCCGGCAGGAGAGTGTTACGGCAGGGGGCACCCCCCACAGCAG